TGGATTCAGAATAAGACACTCAAAGAGAATATTGTATTCACTAATGAATTGAATGATGAATACTATGAACGAGTGCTCGAATCGTGTGCTTTAGTGCCAGACTTGGCTCAACTTCCGGACAGAGATCTGACAGAAATCGGGGAAAAAGGTATCAATTTGTCCGGCGGTCAGAAACAGAGGGTTTCAATGGCGAGGGCTGTCTATTCCAACCGAGATATCTATTTACTCGACGACCCGTTCAGGTATTTATTGTTATTGAATCAAAATCATTTTTAACCACAATTAATTAATGAAGAATGTGGTGTATAAAACCTTTTTTAATATAATTGAATTGTTATAGCGCTGTGGACACACATGTGGGCAAACATTTGTTTGAGAAAACTATTGGAAGAAACGGTTTATTAAAAGACAAAATGAGAATTTTAGTCACAAATAGTGTCTCTATTTTGCCAAATGTGGACCAAATTGTGGTCATAAACAATGGATACGTCTCTGAATCGGGAACTTTTGAAGAGTTGATCTCAAGAAATGGTTATTTCGCCGAATTTGTGACCGAATATCTGTCCCAACAGTCGGACAATGAACTCAAACATGAAGAAAAAACAAATATTAATCAATTAAGAATGAAAATGAAATTTTTGGTTAATAAAGTTATTTATCAAACAAATGGAGGAAATGAATGGAAAAATCTAATGAAACAAATGTTAAATAATTTGAGAGAAAAACGATTAAATAATATAAACGAAGAAAATATTATTAAAAACCAATTATTATTTAAAACGAGTGGAAAGTTAACCGAAACCGAAAACTCAGAGACGTGTTCTGTTGGACTAAAAATATACACAAAATATATTCATTTAATTGGTTTGTGGTTTTGCGCCGTTATTATTGGCTCATCACTCGCCTCAGCAATGGCTCAGATATTATCGGGTCTTTGGCTGAGCGAGTGGTCCGACGACTGCCTCGACTCTAATTATAAAAACGACACAAATGTTCGGTACATAAGACTCGGAGTTTACGCCGGAATCGGTGTCTTTGACACTGTTTTCACATTCATTTCGCAAACATTTATCAGTTTTGGATGTATTGGAGCCGCAAAACACTTGCATAACATTATGTTGGATAGAATTATAAGGGCGCCAATCAGTTTCTACGGTAAATATGCTAATTGTTTACATACAGTGGTTCTCAACCAAAACTAAGATCCCTTCTAACGGTTTACTCGGTAACCACTAATTCGGTTTTAAATCCGTTTTGATAAAATTGTACTTTGATAAATTTATGACAGTGTAATATGTAACATGACATAATTATTCTTAATAATGTTATAGAAAATGTTGTCTGAAAATTGGATTTATTTTCATTGATCATGGACAATAAAATTACAAAAATATTTGCATAATATAATAATATTAGCCAGTAAATCGCATTTTATCAGAGTACAATTCTATCAAAACGGATTTAAAATCGAATTAATGGTTACCGAGTAAATCGCTTAAAAGCGATCTTAGTTTTAGTTTAAATCCACTGTATTTAGCAAATATATTGATTTAAAGCATTTTCCAGACACGACACCAATCGGACGAATTCAGAATCGGTTCAGTCGTGACATGGATTCAGTCGATGTTTCTCTTATACTCAGTTTTCGGCTGACAATAATAATCATTTTGAGAGCATTTGTGGCCGTTTCTCTCACAACATTTCAAACGCCATTAGTATTGACTGCAATCCTTCCCCTGTTTTTTGTGTATTATTTCATTCAAAAGCTATATATTCGCACTTCTCGTCAACTCAAACGCATTGAGTCGACCACTCGTTCCCCTATTTATAGTCATTTCAGTGAAACAGTTAGCGGTTCCGCCAGTATTAGAGCGTATGGAGTGTCCCATCAGTTCATACAGGAATGCAATAGACGGATCGATGAAAATCATATGTGTTATTATCCAAGCATTATGGCTTCCCAATGGCTCGCAATCAGACTTGAATTATTAGGTCATTGTATTGTATTTTTAACGGCAGTATTTACGGTGTATTATCGTTTCGAATTTAGTCCGGGTATTGCGGGTCTGGCTATGAGTTATGCACTTAATATAACTCAAAGTTTGAAATTGCTAGTAAATTCGACATCAAATGTTGAAACTGATATCGTTTCCGTTGAGAGATGTTTTGAATACACAGAAACTCCAATTGAAGTATTTAACACTAAAATTTTCATATATTTGATTAATTAATTACAAGGAGTTATAAAAATTAATTAATAGGCCGAATGGCACAACGAGGCGACTAAACTATCGCCCGATTGGCCCGAAAGGGGAGAAATAAAGTTCAGTGAATACAGCACTAAATATAGAGAAGGATTGGATTTAGTGCTCAAAACGATTACATTAGAAGTGAAGCCCAAAGAGAAGGTGGGAATAGTCGGCAGAACGGGTGCCGGAAAGTCGTCGCTAACTCTGGCGCTCTTCCGACTCATAGAACCGGTCGACGGATCCATATTTATAGACTCAGTGGACGTCACAAAACTGGGTTTATATGACTTGAGATCTCGGCTAACAATTATACCTCAAGACCCGGTGCTCTTCACCGGAACATTACGTCTCAATTTGGATCCATTCAACCGATACTCAGACACTGATATCTGGAGGGCCTTAGAGTCGGCACATCTCAAGCAATTTGTGGACACTTTGGAGAAGGGATTGAGTATGACAAACAAAACTCGCATCTAATCGTCTCTTGGATTAAATCATCCGTTGCCATATCAACCGCTGAAACACATTATTATATATATTATTTTAAAATTTAATAGAGAGACAAAAACAGTTGATTTGTTTGGCCAGAGCTCTGTTGAGGAGAACTAAGATCTTGGTGTTGGACGAGGCGACCGCTGGTATGACTGGTTTTGTCTCTCTATTAAATTTTAAAATAATATATATAATAATGTGTTTCAGCGGTTGATATGGCAACGGATGATTTAATCCAAGAGACGATTAGATGCGAGTTTTGTTTGTCAACTGTTGTTACGATCGCTCATCGATTGAATACAATCATAGATTACGACAAAGTGTTGGTAATGGATAAGGGAATGGTAGCCGAGTTTGATTCACCCCATCATCTCTTGCAAAACACTAACGGCATTTTCTATTCAATGGCTAAAGAAGCAAATCTTATATAAATAATAAGGAAAACATGAGCTCATCTCATGTATAAGTTTAAAAGTACACTATTTCTATATACAGTGCAACTCCTCCATAACGAACGGCCAAATGCACACCAAATCCGTTCGTTATAAATAGGGTTCGCTGTAGAGTGGGTAAAAAAGCACTATTTGTTATACGAGGTACATTTATCAAATGTTCGTTGTAGAGGGGGTTCGCTATGGAGGAGTTGCACTGTATTTTATAAATGAATATTATACAGTTTTCCAAATACCAATCTAATGTTCGAAAAACTTGAATAACTTTTGACTAGGCTGTCCGATTTTGAATCTGTTTTCACAGAATTCTAGCCAGATAATACAAATTCCATATATAATTTGCCATGTTACCTATCACAGTTATTGAAATATACGAATTCTAAAACAAGCAAATTTCTCACAGAAAAGCATTAAATAATTTTTTACATAAAATAATGCATTAGTTCTAACTTAGGTATCTTTTTAAAATCAATTTATTAGAAATGTTCATTATACATAATAGGTCTAATTTTCTATTTTGAAATTTTTTTTAAAGGATCGTTCGGCTATTCCGTCCTCTCCTCCTCCGCCTCCCGCTCTATGGGATTTAACATGTGATTACAGCTTAAGTCTATGGCTATACTTTAACATGGAATTCTTGAGTCTATGGGCAATTAACATAGAATTACAGCTTAAGTCTATGGCTATACTATTACATGGGTAATGTTAAGTTAATGGTAATGCTAATCCTATGGGTAATGCTAAGTCTATGGCAATGCTAAGTCTATGGCAATGCTAAGTCTATGGGTAGTGCTAAGTCTATGGCAATGCTAAGTATATGGGTAATGCTAAGTATATGGCATATGAATAACATGAACATTGTTGAGTCTATGACATAGGGATAACATGGGCAAGTCTAAATCTACGGGACTAATGCTAAGTCTATAGCATAAGGATAACATGTGTAATGGTATATCAATTTGACAATGGGATTATAAATGAATCTGCCATAATAAATAGAACTAATTGTTGTCAAAAACATTTAAAATTCTTAAAATAACAATAGTGAAAATATTCTAACAATAGTATTGCAACATTTAAAATCTTTGATGCATTCAACGTCAACGTATAGCATTGCTGTGTAATCCTTGTTTTCCATAGACCCCATATTAATAAAATTAACAGTTTCTCGTAGATGGCTGAATGGATTTAAATCAAACTTTGCTATCATAGTCTTTGACATCTCCTCTAAATATTAGCATACCCGCCCCCTTCCTAGTTTCCCTCGGGGTGGGCAAAAAACATAGCAAATTGATTTGACCCAAGATTTTCTGTGTTGTAGTCACGTGACTTCAATAATTGTTTGCTACTAAAAACTTAACATATGGAACTATATTTTACTTTTAACAGATTTGATCTAGCTCGTTTAGTTTAGGAGATAATCGATTTTCATAGGCGTCAATACTTTTTGAACGATTAAATAACATAAATATTTTAAAGAAATCTTTTAAAAAAATTAATTTTGACATTATTATTAAATCATCATCATTATTATTTTTGTGTATATAATTATCAAATAATTTATATTTAAAGTTATGCAAAATGGGTTAGAAAATAATTTTTAGTTTAAAAATAATAATAAATACATATCCTTATATGGAAAATACTATTAACAATATAATACTTTAAAATTAAAAAATTTTGACATTATTATTAAAAATGTATGTCTTTTATTAGTTTTATAAATAATTACCAAATAATTTATGTTTAATGTTATGTAAAATATATGGAAAGTAATTTTTAGTTTAAAAATAATAAATTATATTTACTTATATGAAAATACTATACAACCAAATATGGTTTAACTTTGGATTGGATTGTGTTTTAAATAATATTGTTTTGCTAAAATGAAGTCTTCAACACAACATCAAACACATCCAGTGGTAATGTCTGTGTATAATAAGGAACGGTAATAATTCTAGTGTTACCGATTAAGACCGAATGTCTGGTTTTTGGGGGCCCATGTTAAGTTAAGGAGATAAGTGTGTCAGAACTCACACTGTAATATAACTTGTGACGGTTTTACATTTACGTCAGATTTGTGTTTAATTTTGTTTTGAGTAAATATGTGCCGTATTTTCTTTTCGTTATATCAAATAATACATCAAATATTATATTTATGATTTTATGATCGTATTGTACATCTATCCTTTCTATCCACCGGTTCGATGTATTACAGCTTAATTTTATGGCTATTTTACTGTTACGACATGGCGATAATTATTTAAAATATTCTTGCCATTTATATAGAGCAACCACTAAATTAGTCATTTAATAGTCAAAGAATCAGAATTTAACTAATACTTTAAAATGAACAATATGTTGTAATACTTATAATTGTGTTCAAACTATGACAAAAGCATGCGAACGGTTGCCATACATATATCCGTAGCCAGATTTTAATGATTCTAATGACATATTACTCTTTACAAATATATATTTTAAGATGTGTTAATCATTACCATTAAAATTGTTATAAACTAGAATTTTATAATATTTGATATAATGGATGAATTCAAAGCAATAATAATGATTAACTCTAATTTAATTTTTTTGAAATTTCAAGTCGTATAACATTTAGTGTAATAGATTTACAACATTAAAACATATTATACTTGTAATATATCCTTGACATTTGACAAAATGGTGATGGTCGATTAAGTGCTATGACATTCTAAATTATTTTTTATGATTATGGGTAATCATGATGTGTAATTTATTATAAAATAATTATATAACATTTATCTAATTATCAATAACAGATAATGCTATAAATAATACATATTGTTATGTATAAAACCAATGTAATATAAATCAATTCTATATTTAGTAATTAGTTTAAAAAATAACAATGATTTGATTGTTAATTCTAGATTTATTACATTTAATAACATCAATCATACTATAATGATTGAATTAAAATTTTCACATTTTAGGATCCGCTAGTTAGATTTCTCAGAAACTGTCAATTCTATTAAGATTACAATTATGCTGTTAATCTGTAAATCCTATCAAAATGTTTTATACATTTTTTGGATCAAATTCAGTAAGTTTAATTCTAGGGCCCGCTGGATATTTTTATTCCAATTATTCCGATGAATATGCCGGTCACTTTTTTAAATTAATAAATGACGCTATTGTTGAATCCCGTTTTAAACCATTTTATAATGTCATATACAGGAGATCGCAAGTAGGCTTAATAAGCTAGACTGGCAACACTAGCTCCCATAGAAAATACATTATAGCAATGCCCGCCAATGCCCAATTATGCACACTCAGAGATCCCCTGGTTATATACATTATTGGCATCAAATTTAATTAGTTTAATTTGGGGCCCGCGAGGTAAAATTCCTGCTAATCAGGTATTTATGTGGTAGTGGCATTTATTTATATGGTAACTATAGGTTACAAAATCCCGTTTTCTGTTCGTATTATATTAGCAGTATCTGCCGATATTTAGATATTAACTTCAATATACAGTTATTCTTACAATAATTGAATACAAGTCAAAAAGATAGGGTGACTTGTAGCGGCCTATTATTATTATGCGCAATTCTAGTGTGATATTACATCAGTATTTGCATTGTTGCTGCCATGGGTTTTTTTGATTGACTTATCTGAATTATCCCTCAACTAGCCAACAATTTTCAACGAGTACTCCCGTGTGCTTTCTTTTCAAATTGATCACATTTAATAATAAACAAGGATCACACATCGATGCTATACGTTAACCACAATT